TTTATCTGTGGTGAATGTAAAAAAGATTATGATAATAATACTCTTCCATGATGTGAGAAATGTGGTAGGTTAAAAAGAAATAGAAATAGATGTTTTTGTAGTCATTTAAAAGCTAAATCAACCAAACCACTTTCTGACAAAGAACTACTTTCACAAGCCTTCAGTTTTCGCCTAGAAAATAAAACTAGAGAACTAGAAAAAGAGTTATCAATTACCAAAGAAGAATTAAAAGTTGAAAGAGAAGAAGTAGCCAAGTTTCAGGAAATATCAGAAGAGTGAAGTAAAAAGCAAAAACAGGAGTTATTAGATAAGATAAAAAATTTAGAAGAAAAAAATAATCATCTAGAAGAAGAAAACAGGAAATTAAAAGATCAACAGAATGGTCAAATTGCTCAAATTGAAGTTAAAGAAACTAAAAGATGATCTTGATTGAAAATAAAAAAGCAATTGAGGAAATTTCCCTCTGTATAAATTGAAATTCATTCCAATTATCAAAGAAAATGATATTTATTTTCCTTCTAAAGATTTTTGCTTTTTATTAGGTAATAATGCATCATCATGATACTTTCTTTTTCTAACATTCATTATTTTTCTTTCTTCACGGTAAATTTCATAGGTAATCCTTTCTTTTCTTAGATAAGCTTCCAGTGTCTGAGTATCATTTATTTTGAAAATATAAGGTGCAATTTTTTCACCTTGTTCCTTTTTTAAAATACTTCTGATAGTACTATAATTCTTGGGTTCCATGGTAGACCTAATGTAAATGAGTTTCATCTTAACTATTTTTATATAGGAGTAGTGCTATATATCACTTAAAATAACAAATGGGATATTATAAAACTGTTAATTATGATCACATTACAAATGACTAAATTTTGATCCCTGAAATTCTTGGTAATACCAATGTTCACTTTGTCTGGTTTTGTTGCAGTATACCCCATTAAACCTTTCAAGTCAATGTCATTACTGTAATGATTTACTAACAAAAGGGATTATTGGTAATAGTAACATTTTTCAAAATAGTGTTAATTCTTTTGATGATTTGGACTTGGAAGAAAATGATGGAGAAGATAACATAATTGAAACAAGCAATGATGAAAATATTTCTTTAAACTCTAATATAGATTCAATTTTAAATAATCATTTATTATCATTTAAAATTTTAGGAGCTAAATAATGAATGTCTTTTTTTTTGTGTATTTTATTATTATTATTATATATAGTTAATTTTATTTATTATTCATTTTTCTTAACAGTAAATATTGTTAACGGTAAAAAAAAAATTGCAAAAATTTTATTTTAGTAATGATCGTCATTTTACACAAAATTAAATAAGCCAACCACAGGGAAAGCCCGTTATGTTGATACGGCAAAATCCCAGACTATATACAATGCAAATAATATTAATATTGGAAAATTTATCAACGATAATTTTATTATTATTATTAATTATAAAATTTTTTTATTATTATTATTATTAAATAAAAAAAAAAGAAAATTTTCAAAAAAAAAAAAATCCCACCGGATTTTTGATTAATTTGATTATTATATTATATTATTATTATTAATTATTATAAAATTTTTTTTTGATTTTTTATTATAATTTACAAACAAATTAAATTAAAAGGAAAATAAATAAAAAAAAAAATTAAAAAAATTTCTTCCAAAAACTAGCTTGGAAAAAATAAATAAATAAATAATTGATGAATGAATGTATAGTGAGTGTGAGTTGGTTTAAAAAAATCATAAATACACATAAAAATTGATTAATATTAAGGAGTCGTTAATGGTATAGGATTAAAATTGGAGGATGTTAATGGTGAAGGGGGAGTTAATATGGAAAAAAAGATTCTGAAAATAAAAAAAAAAGATCTATTTATATATTTGTAAAAATTGTAAAACTTTCTTTATTCTAAAGTTATCGAAAAAAAAAAAGTTTTCAATTTTCTATTATTACCAGAAAAATAATAGTCGCTATATATATGCTACTCTATTTTTTTCCCCTATTAACCTTTTTATATATATTTGTGTTTATGTACCTCTATAATAAAATGAAAAATGCCCATATTGTTTTTATATATTTTTTTGGTTTTTTCTGCTTTTTTTTTTTTGTTTTTTTGTTATATCTAAATATATATATATATATTTATACTTATATACGTTATATATTTTAATTATTCAAAGATCCAACAACAAAAAAAATTATCATCATTTTTCTATATATATAAATAAATATATAATTACATGTATATATATAAAAAATATATATTTATTTATTTAGTTTGTTGTAAATATTAAAATATATAAATATAAATATATATATATATAAATTAAAAATTTAAAATTAAAATTAAAAAAAAATCCATATCTTAAGTTTTCTTAAAAAAAAATTAAAAAAAACTTTATCAACCTCATAAAAGAAAAATGAAAAAAAAAATGAAAATGAAAAAAGTTCTTTTGCATAACAGTTCACATGATGAAAATTTGTAAAAATGTGTGTGTATGATGTGATGATGTATATATAAAAATTGTTTGAATTGAATTGAATTGTTTGTTTGTTTGATTTTGATTGATTGATTGATTGATGTTATTATACGCCTTTCTTTACTTATTAAAAAAATCATAAAATAGCGTTAAGTAGATGTGTTTGATGAAGATGAGTATCTATCTATTCTATTTAAATATAAATAAATATTTTATTTCTATTCCTTGTTGTATTGACAAATCAACACGTATCTAACAAGAAAGAAGCGATGTCGCTACCCCAGGGATCTTCCAAATTCATACCATTCATAAATGATGTATCGTCATTAAATGAAATCATTGAAGCGGCTATTTGTTCATCAGATAATATTGTTGATGTTTCAGAATCCATTTGGAGATGACTAAGATTATGAGACGATTGGAATCCTACAAATGGATGTTGATTTAGTAATGGTGATGATTGGATGATTGTTGGTGAACTATCAAATACATCTACTGGTGATGACGATAAGGACAATGGTGATGAAGATAATGAAGATAATGACAACGGTGATGCTGTAGATGAAGATGAGAAACCATTAATTTCACTGTTTGGTGTTAATGGAACTGAAGCAGATCGACGGAGACGATGAATATTTTGTAATAGTTCATTTGCGCTGCTACTATTGTTGTTCATGCTCAAACCGTTAATACATAAACCATTGTCATTATTAATTGAATTTCCGTTAATAAAACTATTGTTGTTATTGGCTGGGACTGGGAATGAAGAGCGACGTAATGGTTGATCATTGTTTTGTTGTAATTGTTGTAGACCCATCATTATATCATTATTGATGATGTTTTTATTGTCACAGTTAACAGCATTATTGATTTGACTATCAGTTATAGATGATGAAGGTGAAGGATAAGAGGCATTATTTGGAGAATCAAGTATTGTAACAACCTTTGCGAGATCAGAGTTATCTTGCATGAGTTTGATGAGAGCAGGTTTCATGAAAGCAGATCTACCCTTGATAACATGTCTCATGTGTCTAGATGCTTGCCTATCTTCAGTAAAATCTTTGCACATGTTCCATTTACCATGTGGAGATTCCATAAAGAACCTTGGGGTGTCTTTAACTTCTATAGCGAGCTGGCTGGTGCTTTCATCGATGGGTCTATATTCAATTGAAGTGATGTCAATAAAAGGAAACTCCATTTTGAAGTGGGTGTTATCATTGGTGATATGATAAGTGATAAGGTCTTGTGGAAGGGTATAATAACATAATAAATCTTTTGGTTCTTGGATGGTCAAGATTCTTCTCCAAGTACCAATTGTGAGCGTTTCACATGGCATCAATGTCACACTTGTATTATTAAAGGCCGAAGGAGTAATAAACTCTTGTGGAGGTGAGTACTGTTGTAATGGAGGTGTGTACTGTTGTTGAGGTTGAGGTTGATTATTAGATATGTTTGGTTGTGGTCTCATACCGGCAGAAAAAGCAACATTTGGTAAGGCAATTCGTTGAGGATGTTGATGAATGGGCATGCGGAAAGGATATATGTTACCGTAGCTTGGTGGCATGCAAGTCATGAAATGATTCAAGGATTCTTGATTGATCATTAAATGGGCACGTTTTTGCACGGCCTTCATTTTAGCACGACGATTTTGGAACCAGATTTGAATTGAGCGTTCCGACATGCTGACCTTTTCAGCTAATGCTTCACGAACTTTTGAGTTTGGCGAGGTATTTGTTTTAAAGGTATCTTCCAAGATAGCAAGTTGTTCAGGAGTAGCACGAGTTCTTTTTTTATTATTAGCAGAAGCTTGTTGAGGTGAAATGGTAGGAGAAGCACTACCATCATTGATTGAGGAAGTGGAGGTGGTGGGAGAAGAGGTGGTGGGAGAGGGGATGTTATTGTTGTTGTTAGTGTTGATGTTGTTAAGGATCAAGACATTATTGATTTGAGGAGATGACATGGTTGATGAGGATGATGAAGAGGGCGTATAAGAAGAATTAGAGGAGGATGAGGTAGAAGAAGAGTTGGACTCGCCAATATTAATTGCATTATTATGATTAAGTAAAAGTTCATCATTGCTTGGCTCAGCCTCGCAAATAACATTGGAGACGTCTGTATCCTCACTATTGATGATTGGTGATGATGATGCTGTGGTAGCTGAGAGATCAAATAAAGCATCAAGTGAATTCACTGAATTCATTATTGCGGATTCCATATCTTGATATGTAAATATTCTAAATTTGTTTCACTTAAAAGATACTATTCGACTTTTTTCTTTAAAAAGAAAAAAAAATATTTTATGAAAAAAAAATTTTTTTTTTTTGTCGGGAATGATGTCCTAAAATTTTTGATTGAAAAAATTTTTGATTAGATATTTTTGTTCCAGATTGAGTTTTGAGTTAACCAAAAAAAAAAATTAAATTATCTTCTAGCATATATATTATTTACAAAGGGAAAATTTTTTTTTTCTATTATAATAATTGTACAATAATATGATCAAGAAGGAGATTGTAGTTTTTGTTTTTCTAAAAAAAAAATGAGTTCAATGTTGAATAATTCTATGTTTTGATTCTATGTTAATTCTATCTATAAGTTTATGTTATGTTATGTTATGTTGTTATAATAAATATAATATATTCAATATATTACTATCTTCTTTGTATTATATTATATATATTATTTTTTTTTTAAAAAAAAAAATTAAATTTTTTTTCTAAAGTTTGAAGCGTTTGTTGATTGATATTTATATTTTTTTCTGATATATACATATATATATATATGTATATATATATTGTATATATTATATGTATGATTAAATTAAAGCTAATATAAATAAATAATCACCAATAATTATTAGACAAACTATTTTAAACGTTCCTCTATATGCTATGTAAATAAATTAAAAATTAATTTCCTTCCAATCTAATACGTCATTATAAAAATTAAAAAAAAAATTTTCGAAGTACAAAAATTAATTTTTAATTTTTTTTAACTTCTATATTACTTCACACTACTTTTTTATTAACATTACCCACACACTGATAATCGATTACATTATTATTTATTGAACGTAACTAGAACAAAAAAAAAATTTTTTTAATTCTTACCTTTATCAAAGGTCACCTATGGATATGTGATGATGAAAAGGTAAAACAGTATATATTTAAGACTGTTGGGAGAATGGAAGAAGAAATAAATATGCGAGAGCGAGAGAGTAAAATGAGAGAGGTATAAAGATGTAAAAAATTAAAGGAAGTAAAAAAGTCGAATTAATAAATTAAAAAAAAAATAAAAATAAAAAATTTTTATCTTTTAATGTTTGTTTTCTAACAAGATATAATTGTTATGATGAAAGAAAAGGGAAGATAAAAAGAAAGTATGTAATTAAATTTTAGGTTTTTTTTTTTTTAAAAAAAAATTGTATATAAAAATAAATAAAAAGCAAAGCTAATTATTTTTCTTTTTTTTTTAAAAAAAAATTATATGTATTGTATATATATATATATTTTTTTATATATATATAGATATATATATATCAGTTATTTTATTATATAATTATACAATTATTTATTTTTTATTTTATTTTTTTATGTTGAAAAAAAGAAAGTATAAGATTAAAAAGGAAAGTGAAAGGGTCAAGCAAAGGGCAAATATATTTAGAAAGAATGGAAATGATGAAAAGTGAAACAAATTTTTTTTTTTAATAGTAGAAGGAAGATTCAGACGTCAACCAAAGTATAATGTTTTTGAGAGGTGAAAAAAACAAAAAAAAAATGGGATAAACTCGTTTACAAAAAAGAATTTAAAATAAATATAATGTTTGTTGAACACGCACAAACGAACGATAAAGTCTTAGGGTGAGTGAGCTATATTACACATACACAAATTATTATGGGCCTTATAAAAAAGTGATACATATATTATTATTTATAATCCATAAAAAAAAAATATATACTAAAAGAAAAATAATAAAACCACCAATCATCACCTACAATTGTCCGCACATAATACTAATAATAATACCAACTAAATATAGCTCGCACGAAACCACAAACAACTTGCACTAAAAAATACAACTTTCATCATCATTCTAAACACATAAATATATAACGACACACACAAAAGCGACTATCAACCAATCCTAACATTTTGTTTTTTTTTTTTGTTACAAGCACTTTGTAGATCTTTAGAATTTTATTTTTATCCAACTTTAGAATCTCCGAAATGATAGGCATCATCATAATAATAATCATACAAGGTATCATCGTAATCTTCTTCTCATCGTCTGTCACCGAGAGAGGGAGGGAACTTGAAAAAATAAAACGTTTCTAAACTTTACAAACTAGGATTAAAAAAGAAAATAATTTCTTAATTTCCCAATTTGATCAATTTCTATAAATGTGAATTTGTATCAAGTGGTTATTTTAGGTAGAAATGGCATGATTAGTAGCAATGTCATTAATCACCCAATCAAATTCAACCGATTGACTACTCATTAAAATAAAAAATATTATGATATTGCGCTTCCGACTAAACTATAGACTGATCGACCGATCGACCGATTGAAAAGTAATGTTATTATTATTATTCTATTTCACTGAAACCCAAAAAAAGCATTAGAGCATATTCATTAACCTTTAATAGTGTTTCATATGTCTATGTATGTTGTTGAGGTGAATAAGAAAAACGTTCACTATTTAAAATCTACCATTCATTAAAAAAAAAAAATTGGACTTTTATTGAAATTCGTCAAACTCGGTAGAAAGTAAATAACCTATTACCCAAATATAGTAATGATCTTCAATATGCATCATTAATAATAATATAGGGGCAAAAGTGATTATGATTGTCTAAAAAGAAAGAATTCTTCTTTTTTTATTTATTGTTATTTTTCTTCTTCAAGAGTAGTAAAAATGAACATTTGAATAATTTAATTAAAATTTATTGGTGAGACTTGTTTTTATTTATTATTTTTTATTGCTAATTAAATCACAATAATTAAAAAATAAATAAACAAAACGCAAAGAGTTCTTTTATTAATTGGTAAAAATAGTAATACTTTAACCGTTGATAAAACAAACTAATAAATAATACTATATATCATTATTATCAGATTATGCAACAAGATATTTTTTTATTTTTATTTTTATTTTTTTTTTGTAGATAAAAATCTAAATTTGCACACGCGCGCGCGTGGAATTAATGGGATAAAAATAGAGATGAGGAGTATATTTTTATAAAAATGCGAGATGATATAATGATGCGAGTGATGACAGATGACGATAGAAAAGATGGGCAGAAAAAAGAATCCATTTTGTCGGAATATCAATGTATTGGTTGTGTCTTATGACTTTATATATATGGTGTACGTGATGGTGGCATAAAGAGTAAATATGGAAAATTAAATCATCGGATGAATGAGCTGATGTTATTATAATTTCTTTACAATGATAATAACAAAATACAAATATTTATTATTTGCCTAAAGATTTTGAATTAAAAATAAAGAAACACATATATAACCAAAGAATAATATTTTAGATTTGAATGCAAAAAAATTATCTAATGAATATTAATGGAAATTTAATTTGTAATATTTGTATAATTCTTCCTAAAAGTTTTCTTTTTGATTTTAATTAAGTATTGCAATTGGTTAATAAATATTATTGTTTTAGGGTTCGTTTTTTATTTCACAGTAAATAAAAAACAATGTAAATTGTTATTTTGGTAAACATTATATACATTAAATGTTTATATTTGAGCAATTATTTATTCGATCATTTGCTTTTTGAAAAAAAAAAATTATATATCAGAAAAAATTAAATTGGAGCTTTATTATTATTACTTTATTTAGTAATTGAGTTTATTTAGTAGCATATTTTAGTGCTCCGGAATTATTTTGTGGCATGTTTAGTATTTAGGTAGTTTTATTTTTAGTATTCCTACTAGAATGTTAGAATGATTGAGTGATTGACTGATTGACTTTTGATTGATTGATTGAGCATATTAATGAGTTTTAGTAATAGGCGAACTTTATTTGGTAGTTTATTCGATTGTATGTATATTAAAAGAGTTTATTTAGTGTTTAATTTTAAATAGAGAGAGTGAGTGAGTGAGTTTATTTAGTAGTTTAATTTAATTTAGAAGTTAACTATTAATAGATTATATATAAAAAGCGTCACTCTAAGATTCTATTTGTTCAATTTTAAATTAATTTGTCTTAAAATTAAAATTTTTTCATTGATTGAAACAAACAAAAAAAACACAACAAATATCTTTTACAAAAAAATCAATTGCATTTCTTTGAACATAATTTTATCAGCAAATAATAAAAAACTTTTTAAATTTCCTTTTTTAAGTTTATAATTTTATGACAACTACGATTCCCATTTCCGCATCTACTACTAACTAATTACATAGATGGATATCTATACACGCTAACTGCCTGAATTGGAAAATCTTTTGTAGACCAAATTTGGAATTTTATCAAAATTCAAAAAATCGCTTTTTTTTCTTTTTGTCAAGAACAATAAAAAAATCATTTTCAACAATGATTATTATATAATTCTATTTGTCAGAAAATTGCTGGAACCAATCATTTTTAATTGTTTTTTTATATACAAAATAAGCTAATGTTTATGCAACCCAGATTTTTAATTTACTGTATACAAAAAGAATAAAATATATATTTTATATGCATGTATATAATATTGGTAATTAGTCGTTAACAAATGTATTTTGCATTTAACGGTTTAATGCATACATGCATACGCTTGTCACCATTCAACCCCTCCAAGGGAATTTTCTCGATGTTCCGAAATTTCTCGCTTATTTTAAATGAAGTGGAGAAATTTAATTGGTGCGCAAATTTTGTTTGAGGAGTGTTTGAATGTTTGAGGATAACGTGATCATTTGTTTGCATTAATTATTATTGTATCGGTTCCTTTTTATCCATTTGCCTCTTCTTCATCCGTCGCCATCATCCATTTTATTATTTTTTATTCATTGGTCGATCGATCAATGTTTTACACGCACGCACACGCACGCACACATCATCATAAACATATTTATATATTCAAACACACATGCATATAAAAATATTTATTTTTATTATTATTCTTTACTTACAATCTTCTTCTACGTGGAAGGAAAAAATATTCTTTTAAAGAAAATTCCTGTTGTCACAAAATATTTATTTATCCATTAGTCTAATCCTTATCTTTATCTATTCCTCCTTTTTTTAATTAAATTGTTTCTCATTATGCATTCTTGGTGTCGTGTATCTTGATAGAAATAGTTACAATACAACACCAAAATAGATACCAATTAACCTAACAGGAAGATATTTGTTTATAACTATTTATAGTAAGAGTGATATTAATACTATCCATCCATTACTTTCTTCGTTTTAACGTTTTCTAAATTCCTATTGGTGACGATGATAAGATTTGTAGAAACGAAAAATCTTTACTTGTGTCTAGATATAGAAATACAGAATAACAACAACAACGACGACGACAACAACAACAACAACAACAATAACAATAACAACAACAACAACAACAACAATAATAGGTGATTTCCCGATGTTATTTTTTCAACATCAACGTCTTTTTCAGAAACAAAGAATTCATAAAATAGACATATTTTAAATTAATAAAAAACAAATGTTTTGTTTTAGAAAAAGATCTTCTGCTTGTACAAAAAACATGCCATAAAAACGTGGATTTTTAATTCTAACGTGTTCTCCATGTTTGTATTTTTGTGAACTTTGCTTAATTTGGTGATTCTAATGGGATATATAGGTCATTGAAGATTATTAAATGATTTATCTCGGAAAATGCCATTCATCAATAGGAACCGCATGGTGTCAATTATATGATTGGTTATTAGAAAAACATTCTTGCTTTTGAAAATATCATTCATTGAAAAACTATTTTACTGCGTACAATCCAATTTTTTTTATTAATATTTTTTTTATTATATACAGTACAACTTGTCGAAAGTGTCACGTGAACAATTTAGATTATCACATGACATACAAAAATTCATTAATAATTAAGGAGTGATATCATAATCGTAATCAATTTCATAATTCACAGGAATATCATCGTATTCCTCTTGATTTCCAACAACAACTCCTTCAAATGGATCACGATCTGATACATCAATTGGATCATTGGCATTTTCAACTACAAAAGTATTTCTATCAACAGCAACATCAGTGATTGCTATTGGTGGTGATGGTGGTGGGATGATGTTTATATCCAATGATGACAAATCATCAATGCCATCATTGTCATTTTCCTGATCACCACCGCCGCCTTCCCTTCTTTCTTTAAATAGCTTTTCTAAATAATCATAGTCTATTATTTTCATCTTACCATCAACTTCCTTTTTCGGAAACTCCAAAACCAGTTCTGCAGATCCAATCAATTCCGCAAAAAAGTCTGACGGCACCTCCTTCAATTCCGATGGTGGAACTAATGGTGATGGCGACATCAATAATGATTTTTCAATTTCTTCTTTTTTACGCGCATCACTCCATCCTGTCGCATCTCCATTATCCAATAGTTTTAATATATTCATAGCAACTTCGTATAGCACATCTTCCGGTAAATCATTGCTACACTCTGCATCATCACGATATCCAAAATATCCAAGATACTTGCTAACGTTGTACAGGAATAAATCAAAAATCGGTAGAAATGTTGTTTTGTCAAATGGAGCATAGAGTAGTTTGGATCGATCTTCCAGCAGAGTGGTCATTGATGGTGGCACTGGTGGTGGATGGGTCAATTCCAATTCTAAGGCTGTTGGATCTGTTGGTATTGCTGTTGGGATAGCAAACGGTACACGTTTTATGGTGGTTCTTACATTTGCATTATTTCCTTCCTGCTCTTGTTGTGGTATTGGCCTTGTTCTTAATCGAAAATGAGGTTTCGTATGTACAACTCTGCTACCAAAATCTCTACCAGAAATTTTTATTTTTATATTATTACATTAATTAATAGCGAGCGAGCGAGCGAGCGTGTGTGTGTGTGTATTTTATTTTTATAAAATGTAATGGTATTAATTGATAATTACTAACTTTGGATCAATATGATTAGATAATGATTCAACTTCATGTTTTTTTTCTGGTGATATTGGTTCAGAATTCATTATATATTATTTTTTTTGGGAAAAAAGAAAATTCAAATTTCACACAAAAAAATATATGGAAGGTCACTCGCTATAGAGTGAGCAAACTATGTATGTATATATATATATAAATTGCTCTAATGATTTTCCAAATTAAGAAAAACCTGCCTCCTATTAATATTATTATTATTAATAATTATGACATCGTAAAAAAAAAATTTTCCCACTGATTAATTCTCAATTCGGTAGTAAAAAGAGGCAAAGAAAATATCATATTTCGATAGAAAAAATTTACATTGAAGGCATATAGAGACGATGACATCTCCACTCAACAGTGTAAGGCTTCCAATCGGAAGATTATTTAAAAAAATTCTTAATAGCATGTGGTTGTAATTATAGGAAATACTTGGTAATGTAACCTAACTGTCTGACTTTTTTTGTACCAACTAAAAATGATGTGGTAGTTTTAGCAGGGGTTTTTTAAAATAAAGGCATCGGGAACAAAAGTAAGCTTCGTGAGATTTAATTTGTTCTTTTACATACCTTTATTATTATTATTATTGTTATTATTATTATTATTATTATTATTATGCATCTTACCATGGATATTCTAGCATGGAGAGGATGATAAACCTAGCATTGATGTTAGCACTAATAAAGACAGTGTGCTTGCTTGCTATTCAAACTTTTCATTAAACATTTTGTACATGTCTCTTTTTTAATATTGCTTTCTGATTTAAGGATCGATATAGAAATCTATCGTTTTTGACGATACAGATGCACCGCTAATTTATTTTATGCAACCCTCTTCCATTCATCAAGCAAGATATTTGTGAAGATGCCACTGGTAACCTATGGTTGTCATAGCCGCAATGACAAGATAGCATCAATTCGTATGGATGGAATGTTCTTGGAACAAACCGTCTTTTATGGTTAATCTCATTTGTGATAAGGAATGTGACGTGCCGAAGGTTATAACCTTGATGATCCTACTACTCCCACGACCACGGCCACGTTACAGAAAACTAAGGCAGACGATGTTGAAGTGGAAATGGATAACAAGGGAAAACTTGTTGCAATATTAATTTTATTACTAATGCTAGTAATAGAATGGAGCTTGAGGAAGCAGCAGAGAAGTATACCAGAACAAAAGATAATTTTATTTATGGTAAATAAAACTTTTTGCTTTAAATCTGGCAGACAATATATAATTGTTCCTCCTATTAAATTGCATATAATAATCTATTGTGAGATGAATAAAATAAGAAAAAAAATTTTTTTTTAGTATTATAATAAAAAGTTTAATTCCATAGTTTCCATAATATGTATAAAAAAATTTTTTTTTTTGAACGTAAAAAAAGCAAAAAAATCTTCCTTTTTCATCTACATTGACAAATAAAGTCATCGTTTCCTAGCAGTAGCGATTGGTTGCTAGTTATCGATATCAATCATTACCATTAAATCAGTAAATCGATGATATATTTAATTAATATAAAAATAAAAAATTCATTTTGTACATTACATAAACATGGATAATTTTAGCCAATAGATTTTTGTGGGGAAAATACTTTAAAATGGGTGTTGCAAAAAAAAAAATTTAAAATGTTGATAATTTCAACTTTATCAAAAAAATTTTTCTTAGCACACTCTTCAATATTTTTTTGTTGATTGTGTATAGTCAAAAAAATAAAGACACATATATCTATTTCAACTTACCTTTGTAATTGAAAATTCATAAGATTTTTATTTGATTCTTTAATCTAAATTTTAAGATCTTTTTTTCTTTTTAATAAAAAAAGAAAAATCATGTCTGCTACTACAATAGAACAAATGAGTAACAATACTCAGGTTGTCAGTTGGGAATTTGTTCAACTTTATTACAAGACTCTTAATGAAAAACCAGAAATCATGAAAGACTTTTATAAGAATCAATCCAAACTAATCAGAGGAGAAGAGGGAGAACCCATCAGCGTGTGTCAAGGCTTAAAGGTAATTTTATTAAGCCATCGACTTTCAACTTTAACTAAATTTTTTGTTTCATTGCCAAAATTGGAAGAAAAAATGTGATTTTTTTCTCTGATTCTGTTAAACCTATTAAATCTTGGTTTTTCGCACAAGAAACAATATTATATAGATTTTCTTTTAAATAAGATAAAATTACTAATATATACATATTTATTTATTATTTTAGGAAATTGATAATAATATTTTGCAAAAAAAATACAAGGATGTAATAGTTGATTTTACAAATATCGACTGTCTTGAAGTATTTGAAAAAAAGATTTTATTGCAAGTCCTTGGTTCTTTGTCTAATAATGGAGATCCGCCCAGAAAATTTGTTCAAACCGTAATCCTTGATACGCAACCCAATGGTTACTATGTGTTACAAGACATTTTTCGTTATTTGAATGATGATGTAAAGAACACATTTGATGTCGAAGAAGAATCATCGTCACAACTTGTTGAAGAAATAAACACAAACGACACCAATAATAATAATGCTGCAACACCGACAACCTCATCCACAGTAAATATTGATAATGCATCCAAAGGTACTCCAGCTACTACCACCACCACCACCACCGCCACCACCACCACCGCTTCGTCTGTTACTGCTTCTAATCCTATCGAAGATTCAACTACTTTGACAAAAGCAGAGAATCATAACAATGATGACGATATTAATAATGATGATGATAATGATAATGACAATGATGATGGTAAAGAGAAAAGTGTTGGTAGTAATAATATTATGGAAACCCAACATTTATCTAGAGAATCATCAATTAATGGTGGCACTGACAATAATGTAGAAAATCATTTGAAATCACAAATAAACACTACTAATAAAATTAACAATGCTGTTGAAGAAAAATCTAACGATATAGCAGAAAATGATAAATCTACTACTACCACCACCAACAACAACAATCAAAATCAAAATAATAATATACCAAAAACAACTACTGGCGTTACAAATAAAGTTACCACTTCATCTAGTCCTCAAATAAACACAAGCGTGCCATCAAACAAAACATCTACTCACACTAAACCAACTTCATGGGCTAACGTTGTCGGCAGTCCTACTGCCACCGATAATAAAAATCGTGGTTTACCACCAGCAACCCAACAAACTAAAACATCAGCACTAACATCAACTCCAACTCCACCTCAACAATCACAGTCACCTCAACTACCAACACCAACACCGCCACCACCACCACCACAGCAACAACAACAACAACCACCACCACAGCAGCAACAACCACCACCACAGCCACCACAACAATTACCACAACAACCATCACAACCATCACAACAAGCTGCACCACAAAATATTCATCATAATCCTCATCAACCTTATCAGAGTCCTCATCATATAAATAACCCTCATCATCGTAATCCGTATCATCAACAAAATCAAAACCAATCATCATACCGTGACACGAGAGATTATAATAATAATAATAATAACAATTATAATAACAATAATATGAACAACAACAACAATAACATGAATAGGAGAGGAAGTTTTACTAATAATAGAAATCTTGGAAATACTAGCACTATGACAGCCAATAGAGGTGTGAAAAAGTTTTAATTACTTTGTGGTTTTATTATTCATATTACTTATATAAAATGTTTAATTTTATTAATTTCGTAAAAAATTTTTTTGTTAGAATTATCATTATATGTTCGATGGAATAATGGCGGTGATGTAAATGTAACTCATGGTGCACTTCTTGATTTGTTTAAAAAATATGGGGAAATAAGAAATTTTAATCTCGTCGAGAAAAAGGTAAACAGAGTAATTTTAATGATAAAGTAATGATAATAATAATTTATATTTACATTAATATTTTTATATATATATTCTTTAGTCTTGTGCATTTGTTGAATTTAGCAGTAAAGATGTATATCAAAAAGTACTTGAGAAAAAAACATTCACTGATCAAAATTTGTTAGGATCTACAACAATCATTGTCGAAGAGCGTAAAGATAAAAATGAAGAGGGAGGAAGCTATGGTAACAATATCAATAACAACAATAATAGATACAGAAACAACCAAAGCTACAATAATCCTCGTTATAATAATAATAATAATAGCAGCCGAGGAATGTCACATGGTGGCGGCAGAGGCGGCGGCGATAGACGCAATAGCAATAGTATGGGTCGTCCACCTTCTTCCAGAAGTTAAAATTAAGTTTATTTTTTAATATTTTTGGATCTTTTTTTGGATGTTCTTTTTTTTTAAAAAAGGAGGGATATATATATGTATATGTAGTGACAGTTTTAATGGCATGATAAATGTTATTATGATTTGTTTAAATGTTTATATCAATATATCTTTATAAATATATATATATATATATATTAATTTTAACAACTAGTTTTAATTCCTATAAATAAAAAATTTTCCAAACTTTAATTTATAATTTCATAATGTTTTTGTAACAATGATTGATTTTATGATAATAATAATATAATAATAGTAATAATAATAATATAATAATAGTAATAATAATAATAGTAATAATAATAATAGTAATAATAATAATAATAGTAATAATAGTAATAATATTAATAATAATAATAGTAACAACAACAATAATAGTAATAGTAATAAAATCAATTGATACTCACATTATTTTATTTATTTTACTAAAAGATTTAATATAACGTTCGATTCATGCATATGTATAAAACAATATATGGGGCATGCCGCAACAAAACCAGACAAAGTGAACCAAAATTTTAGGGGTCAAAGTTTTTTAAAAATTTGACATAAATCCTTAGTATATTAGAACTAAAACTTGGCTTGAAAAAATCAATTAACGATCCGCAAAATTCTGCACCAAAATTGAAAAAATCGAGAATTTTTTTTTTAAAGTTATAAGGTTTTATTTATCATTTGGCTAGTTGCAAATTGCTATTGATATTGTTATTGACACAAGTTATGCAATTTATCAATTTTATTTATTTATTATATATGAACTGGGTTCTTCAAGGATTTTTAGGTTTGTGATCTTTTTACTTGGTGTAGTTGCAGTTGGATTAATCTAATCCAAATGATTTGTTCTAATTGGTGTGCTATATCCAGCTTCAACAAGATAATCTATTCTATTTTCCTATAAGTTTACTTTACAATCACAACACCTTTTTTTTAAATAAGCATTAAAATAACAATGAAAAGGAAAAAAATTTACCTTGATACTCATCAAAGTCTGATGCAGTTTCATAATTGATTCTAGTTCGCGAACAGAATTTGAGATTGTACAATTGGCCATTTCAACCATTAGATAAATTCCTGGATACTGAAGTTTCATTACACATATTACCATTTTATACCCATTTATAAAAATTGCCAACTTTTTCCTAGATGATGGTTGAATATTGAATTTCTTAATATCATTAGCAATAGCATCCTTAGCATGTATTGAAGCCCTGTAAATGTCCCAATTAAATTTTTTTTCTTCATCTTCACGTCACTTCTAAAAAAACAGATGTACGAGTATTTTTTGATTGTGGAGCATATAGTCTGGAATTCTACCACCAGCAGGACTTTTACGTAGTTTAGATGCTTTAGTTTCTACACTAATCCTATAAAAAACGAATAATGAATCAATTTTTTTGAAAACATATAAAAATCAATACATCATACCATGAATGAGTAGTAACATAATTGAAATAATGAATGGTTTGTTAAAATAGGTCCCAAGTAATCCACAATATAAATTACTTCATTTAACTTTTTCATATTAATTAAGGGATTCCACAGCACATACTCTTCAAGTAATCTAAAAGTTTTATTTGTACATCCATTTTGACTTATTGAATATTCCTTGATATATTTTTCAAGTTCTTCAAGAGCATCCCGTTGAAATTTCCACAGATAAATATTTGTGAAAAAAAAAATAATATAATTAATATATATGTATAATTTAATTTCAAACATTTTTGTTTTCCTCTACAAACAACTTGATACCATCTGAAATTCTAATATGTTCAAAGTGTGAATTGACAAGTGACTTGATCTCAGCAGTTTCACAAGATGTTAAAAAATTAATATATGTATCTTCAGTTTTCTGTTGAAAATAAAAAACTGATGAAGCAGCAAACAATTTATGAATATTTTGACTTGTTGGATATGTACCAGACTCTAATTTTTTAAGCATGTGTTGCTGCCATTTTAGTAATTTAATTTGCAATTCGTCAGTATTGTTTTCAGACAGTTCAGTAATTCCAAAAAAAAATTCTCCTTCTTCATCATCAATTAAATCAATTATATCAACATTATCAAATTCTTTCTTGTCATGTGATTTGTTAACATTCTTTTGTTCAGAAACATATACTTCATCAATAATCAATTTTGACTAAATTAAAGAAAGAAAAAAAAAGTTTAAAAATGACTATTAATATAAAAGAATAGTTGCAAATTTCTGTTGTTGTTCACCTTGGAGGATTTTGCACTTCATCTTCGTGAGATCTTTTTCTATTATTTGGTACTGCTTCAGATAAATCTGCAATTAGTTGATGTGCACCAATTTCTTTTGATTTGTCCAATGCGTCCATACTGGAACTTATGAACAGTTCTCTATGTAATTAGAGTGATTACAAGTGGAGATAACCACCATTCTTACGATGACACTTATTCTCTTCTATCTTTATCAGTTACTTCCTTTCGCTTTCTATTTTTAAATGAATGCATTTTGAATTTTTTTTAAAAAACACGTAACAAAATGTATTATCAGTCCACGCAGATCAATAGTAATAGGGAGTAGTGAATTTTTGATGATCTGCATCATAGTAGAATTCGAATTTACATAGTACAGTCAAAGCTCGTTATAGTGGACCCTTGGTTCCATATGTAATTTTTCTCCTTTTTTTCACTATAACAAAATTTTATTATGTTTTCCACTATATCAAGCGAAATTAATTAGCATTGGAAACAAAAAAGATCCACTATAATGAGATCCACTATAACAAGCTTTGACTGTAATGATAATAGTAATAGTAATATTAATTCCATCAACTCTAGCCAACTCCATATATCCAATATTGTTTATTGCTCACACCATAATAAAGTTTTACTATAAAATGTGGTCTCACAATTATATTCTTTGAAAAATAGAGTATATATATTAATCATATAAAAATAAAAATTTAATATTAATATGTATAAAAGACATACCTTAGGAAGCAAAGCGAACATAATTCTGTACATTTAATTTATGTTTGCATGCATTAACAAATTTCTATATAATAATAAGAATATAATAATAAAGTCAAAATTTGACTTTAAGGCTGAGATTATTTTTGGTTTTATTAACAACTTGCTTCAAAATTTTTTTTAAAACAGATACATATGATAAAGAAGTATCAAATTTGGTGGAAATTTGCTACACAACAAGGTATCAAACGAGGGTATGAAGACATTCTATTGGGAATTGGACTAGGAAAATCAACCTCTAAGACAAAAAATCTATTTTTAGTAACAATCCTTTTAAAATTGGTTACACAGATGTTTTTAATATACAAAGAAAGTATTCCAAGCCCTGTATCTCATTCCTCTACTATGCAAACAAGATCCAATTTTTTCTCCAATTGTAATCCTTGTATAATAAATTAATATTAAGTAAGAAAACTCAAAATAAAAACATCAGCTGAGACTAGTCCAATTCCCAATTCGAAATTTTATTAATAAAAAATTGTGTGGGAAAATAAACTCACCACTGATCTGCAAGTGAATATTGCTCTGATAAATAATAACAAAAAAAAAAATTAAAAAAATCTTTTGCTCAAAAACTCTACTTTTATAAACATGACTGATTACATGCACAAATATTTTGACCAAGATCCTGTAAACTGGAACATCCTTGGCTTTTTGAACGATTGTGACAAAGAACCATTTCATATGAAAGTTGATTGTTATATAAAAAGTCTTCAAACGATCAATGAATCAGAACAAGGTGACAGTAAGAAATACACAAGAATACTTCTTGATAGATACAAAATGGCAAGTAAAAGCCTTTTATATCTTATTTTTTGTATCTTATCTTATTCAAGTACTGAGGTAAAGTGGTGTGATCGGAGGCTTGCTCAGTCATCAGTCATTCAAGATTGTTCACCAAGCTACGAAACTGGTGCTGGCACACAGTTGACTTAGTTAGCTGATGCCAAAGGTTGCTCACTGATCCAGCACTCGACCACTGGTTGCACAGGGTAGCTTGCTCGGCTATGATGTGTTCCAGTGGAAGAATACTAATTCAGTTTTTTCAATTTTGAGTAAAAAAATAAAATGTCATAGGATCACCAAATTGATCGAAAAAAAGCAAAAGAATGGGAGAAGAGATGCTTGCAAAAACAAGTACACTTCCATCAGCTGGTTGGCATAATTAATATGATGAGCAGCAATATATCTAATAATAATGTAATTGAAAGAGCTGTTGACATAAACACTATTGCAGAGCCATCCTCAAAGAAGAGAGATAAAGAAGTAAAGGTATACATTTTTTTTTTATATTTAATATGTTATGATTATACATGCAGTCCAAATTGGTTTGGTGATTTCAATGGTCAAAATTATTCCAATTTTGATGGTAGAAAGTAGAAATTAATTACGGCACTCACTATTAAAAACATAAGTGTAACACCCCTTTACTACAAGTGTAACCCCCTTTATGACATTGTCAAAATACTTTGGGCTGCATGTATAGTTATGATTTTATTTCTAATGAAAATCCTATCTTTAGAATGATGATAAGGTTTTAAACCAAACAAAGACTGATTCGAATTATAATGAGGATGAAACAGATTTGGATTTGGATTAGATAGACTATAACAATTGCAATATGACCCAAACATTGAATTATTGGAGAAACAGATACTGGTCCAAAGTTATGTAAAGTATCCTGATAAAGACAGTCCAGATAATGTTTGGGTGTTGCCTTCGGGAAAATCTATTGATGAAATAATTCATTGCCCTAAAAATCTACATAATTTTTTATATGTATTTCTTTTCTTCATATCTTTGGATCTAACAAAGCTGACCCATAGTTTGCACACTTATGTATAGCCTGTCATGTTTAGGTATCATATGCATTGGATCAAAAATCAGGAAGCTAAAATGGATTGAACAAAAGGATTGGGATTATTTAAATTTAAACATTGAATATCCACATTATGATTTACCAACTGAAATTGAAGATCTATTTAGTATACTATTAGAGACTGTAAGTACAAATTGTCTTTTAATAAAATATTATTTATACAAATTTTTTTATTTTTTTATTAATCAATAACAGAGTTCGTTAAATGAGTATAAAAAATGTCTTCATAATGCCACTTTTGACTGTGAAAATGATATAGAGATGATATTTGTAACAGATGTTTTATTATGGTTGTAAGTATAATGGTATTATAGAAGTACTGTTTGTTTTTCATATACTATTTGTTTTTCATGATCTGTTTGTTAATTTATTCTAATTTTGAAGTGCAAAAAACATACTCAGCACTACATTGACTTTCCATAGTATAACAAATAAGGATGAAGCATTGTTAGGATCACTTATGATTCATCCTGTACTACAATACCTTGTAAACACAACTAGCCACATCATATACATGCCATATGTTTTTTATTCTAATATCAAATTAATATTTTCATTCTTCATATGATGTTAAAAAATGCAAGTTTTTTTTTTAATAATAGAGGTGAAATTTATCTTAAAGCTAGCGCAAGTCAGAAATTATTGTGACATAACCTCAAACCCAAAGATGATAGGCCTTTAGGCATGAAAGTTGATGGCATTTTCCGGTCCCCTGGTGAAACAGGACTTTGAAATTGGCATGGTGGAATTGTCAGGTGGTTACTTAACCAAGGATTTGCCTCATTATTTAAAATATCACATAAAGGGATATTGTGACCTTTTAAATGATATATTCACAAAATTTAATCATGGCGATTACAAAATTCTGAGATGTTTATGTGTCTGGTTTTTCCATATACATGGTAAATTAATTGGTTGAGCTGAGTCATAGTTTTTGTATTTTCTAATAAACTTATCTTGCATTATAGGTCTTGAAGTGCAGATATGGGCATGGATTTGCCTGTCTCAAAAATATATCAAATGTTTCTGATTGGGGCCTTCCAGTTTCCAATAAGCTGGGAGAATCATCATGAACTGGCACATGTGCTGAGGGTTTTGTGAAATCTTAGAGTAACAAAGATCTTCATTCCTTTGTATTGAAGTATTGAAGTATTGAAATATCTCATCCTGACTATTATTTTTTTTCATAGAGGGGTTTAGATGATACTCTCAAAGTACTTGATGGACTCAAAAAATCACACCTTTGAAATATATTATTACACTCTCAATCTTCACTAAAAAGTTATAAAGGTGATGCCGACTGTTTGCCAGAAAAACCTACAGGAAAAAAATCACATATCGTAAATCCAGTGGAACATCATATGCAACATCAAATATACCATGATCATGATGATTCTGATTACAATAATGATCCACAATCTCCATACCAATTGAGGAATTGATAGAAATTATGCATATATATTAGGTTTAGGATTTAGTGTAATTATTGATTAGCGGTTCATTTGGCATTAATGATGCATTCTTTAATCAACACCTTTATTACTTATTATTGGCATATTTTAGCAAATGAGACCTTACTATAAAATAGTTTGTATAATAAAAGATCAATAAAGTACTACATAATCACAAATCTATTATTTGCAACATTCTTTATTTGTGATTTCATCTTTTGATAGTTCTCAACAAATGTTTCTTGATGACAGCCTGTCACCAAAATTTTTGTTACTTTATACATTTTAAATAAAATAATAGGATATGCAATCTGAGCTTGATGCTGAAAAAGCTGATATTGTACCAAGCAGTGGAAATAATAGCATAATAATACGAGAAACACAGGAAAATTAGGGGGCTGTAATCATGTGATAATTTGCAAGATAGATAATATACTGGAATTAAATTCTTAATATAACATTAACACCCCATAATTTTCAGGAATAAAAAAATTTTAGAAGACCATTCTTGGAAAGTACAATAGAAATTGTAAAAATATGTGTAAAAATCATAGATTCATTCATATAAGAATCATTCTGTGTTGGTTTTAAATCAATTAATTATTCTGTAATATTTTAAGCAAAAATCAGTTAATCAAAATTGGTAAATGAATTTGACAAATTTGATGATAATAATAAATGATGCTAAATCTGAGATGCTAAAATAGTTTCTTATAGTAGCTGAAATTATATCCAAATTTATTAACTCAATAGCTAAAATGCTAGGTAGTTTTTTTATGTATATTGTTATAAAGAACATTTGTAAATCCAAAATTACTTGCCAAAATTTATTTTTTCAAAAACCATTTTGGCTAACATCCTTACTTGATAATAGAGATTGGAATCAATTAAATTTTGACTGATTATAATTAATCAATTAATTTTTTGGAAAATAATGACTGATTAATCGAAAAAATATTGAATGATTAATAATAGTAATAGTAATAGTAATATGGTGCAAGTCACTTAGTCGCTGAACTTTTTATTGGCTGTGTAGATCCTATATCCTCTCCAAGAATGGAAATGTATGACCCAAAAAACAAATCATAGAATTAAAGCTAAGACCTTTCTCTACAATTCTATGATTTCATTT